TGGATTTGGCTCTTGGCTCCACTTCTCACTAGCCAGTAATTCTGTGTCAGCTAAACCTAGATGAGTCTCAGTTTATCATCTGCAAAATGGGCTAGTAACTGTACTGTCATATGAAGCTGTGGTAAAGAGGTCAGCTATTGTTACTAAGGTGTAAGTGCTCTTTGTGGTTTACTTTGGGACTGATTATAATAGCACAGGATTCAGAGCAGATTAGTGGGGTTAGGGGCAGACATCAGAGGCAGGAACACAGTGTGTCAGGACAATATCTCCATGAGACAAGGACGTCTCGCTTACATTGAATGCAGTTCTGAATCCACAAGTTTGGTGCCCGTTATGGGAGGCAGACATGGATTGGGGAAAGCAGTCCCCATCTTTTCTCATTTTCCTGCCTTTATTTCTTCAAGAATATTTCTGTTCTTTCTCTTCTACCCCAGAGCCTTCCTGTTGGGAAGGGAGTGATGAGAGGTGGTGGACCCACCAGATCCACCCCTTTGTAGGAAGCCTTGATGTCCATCGGGGGAGCAGTTCTTGTTCTCCTGCGCTCAGCTCGTGATGGTCTGAGCCACTCTGAGTTACCGCGTGGAAGAAACCTGCTGGTCTGGCCATGTGAAGTGAATCTAAATCCTTGAGACCTTTAGAAACGACTCAAGCTGCAGCCAGGAGTCTTTTTGGGGACAGTTGTTAGGAGGCTGCACTAGTCTGGTGTGCCCCCTGATGGCGTTCTTGACTTTTTTGCTCCATCGGTGTGTTACTGTGAAATCAGTTCTGACTCAGTGATTCTGTGTGTGCAGGTACAACGGCTCCACGGGATTTTAAGATGAAGGTCTTGAAAATTTTCCAGGTCTCTCTTCCAGGACTCCTCCCGTGGGTTTGAACTGCCAACATTTAGGCTAGCACTTGAGTGCTGAACCACTGTGGCACCCAGTGACTCCTCCCATCCACATTTCCCTGTCCTATCGGTGGTGCAGTGCTTTTTCAGTCAAAGGGAATGCTGATGGCGTAGTCTGTAGGGTGCGTATAGTGTTGCTGACCCGAAGGTGGTGCCTATGACAATTCAAACCCACCAGCAGCTGTGTGGGAGAAAGATGGGCAGTCACCTCCTGTGCGATTTACAGCTTTGGAAAACCCAACTGAGTGTCAGTGATGAGGGTGTTTTTCCTTCCTATCAGATGTCTCCCCTCTTAGATGACTTAAATGCATTCATTTTAAAAGAAAACTTGATACCTTCACTGGAAGATGAGGAGATTGAGATTGTTGACAGCTTCATTTTGCTTGGCTCTACAATCAGCACTCTTAGTACCAGCAGCCAAAAAATTAAAAGACGAATTGCATTGGGAAAGTCAGCTGTCAGAGACCTCTCCAAAATACTGTAGAGCAACACTGTCAGTCTGGAGACTAAGGTTCACCTGATACAGGCCATGGTCTTTGCAATCATGTGCTATGCATCAGAGAGCTAGACATTGACTAGGGATGATAGAAGGAGAGTTGATGCCTTTGAGCTATGGTGGTGGAAAGAGTATTGAATATACACTATGGACTGCTCGGAGAACAAACAAGTTTGTCCGGGAGAGGGTGGAGCCAGGCTGCTCCTTGGAGACAAGGATTCCGAAGCTCTGTCTGACATACTTTGGACATGTTGCAAAGCAAGACCAGTCCTTGGAGAGGGACATTATGTACAGGAGAGGAAGATCCTTGATGAGATGCATTGATTCTGTCACTGGGGTAATGAGGATAGGCGTGTCGGAGTCAATAAGATTGGCAAGGGATAGAGCAGGATTTAGGGCTGTTGTACGTAAGGTCGTTATGAGTCACGGTCGACTTGATGGCACGTAACAACAACAGCCCAAAAATAGGAAGTAAAGATAAAGTTTGATGAAAACAAACAAAAAATCACAAAATTTTAACTTGATGCCTTTGCCAGCCGCCCAAGGCTGTGAGCCTGACACCTCCTCTCATTTTTGTTTCCTATAAAAGGGGAGGTGAGCCAGCGCTAACTCAAGTCTTATCAATGGGTTAGTACTAAAATTTGACTCTTCCTTATAGTCAGAAGGACTGGGCGAGAATTATGAAGGATGTGGTTTGGATTTGGCACCAAGACTTTAATGAAATAATCATGCCTGGGCCTTCCACGTCCTGGGAAATGCCACGTAATTCACCTGTCAGTCAGTGTTTGCTGAACATTCAGCGCGTGCCCAGCTTGTGCCTGCAAGTGCGTCGGGGAGGAGGGCTCTTTGTCCTCCAGGAGGTTTTTCTCGTGTCAAAACACACTTGTACAAGATAATTAAACAAGCGGTTGTGTGATAAGAGATGACTGAATTGCCTAGGAGGTGGGATGAGTGCCACTGTAGTTGGGAGAAGGGAGACATCTGTTGGGGTGGAAGACATTGGAATGAGAGCTTCCTACAGGCAGTGAGTCCTGAATCAGGCCCCAGGGCATGAGCACAAGGATTGTACCTGTGTGACAGTGACCTGAGTCTTCAAGGTCCTGTGTCTTCTTTACAGGACATGGAATCAGTATCTTGGGAAAGACAGTAGTTGTTTAAGGGTGTGGACTCTGGAGTTGAGCAGATCTGAGTTTGGAACTGACTCTAAGACCTAGCCACCATTATGACCATAATCGCTGTATTTGTCTGAACCTCAGTTTTCCTCTCTGTAAAATGAGACCAGTGATAGTCCTTAGAGGGCTGTTAGGATGAGGAAGTGAGGCCAAGCATGTTGAGTTAGCTGCTGTCATGAGTGATGGGGAGAGGAAGCTGACAGCATCCTCCCAAGGCTGAGCTCATGTCTGCATGAGGGGGAGAGGGAAGCCAAGAATGGGAGGAGTCTGGGATTCCTTTCCTGTCATTCCGATCCCTGTTCAGGGCATCCTGGATGCTGTGGTCTCGCACTTCCCATCCTGGGCTCCATCACCAGCCTTTGAAACACTAAGACCTGGACAGAGGATTTTCAGGGTTGTAAGATTCTGCTTTAGGATCTTGGAGATATTTGTTATCCACATTATCCACCCACCCACCCAGTTAACACTCAAAGATCATTGCTTACTAAGTGTGGGAGTGGATAGTAAGCAGTTGGGATTCGATGGTCAACAAAATAAAGCCAGTATGGTAAGGTATGGTACCTCTATAAAGAAGTTCTCTGGGTTTTAGTTATTATTGTGTTTGTTTCTTTTTTTAAAACAGAATAGAGCGAGTGCCTGCCATCATTGGAGCTTATGAAACTGGGTTAGATGGTCATTAATCAAATGCACAAATAGGGTGCTGTTAGAAAAGTAAAGTACAGTATCTTCTGGGAGTATGCTACAAGAGGGCCTCAGTTTCCTAGAGAGGTGTACTGACCTGGGAAGCTGAAGGGACCACAGAGTGAGCCTGGTGAAGATTCTCTTGGCAGAGGGAATAGCACATGCAAAGGCCCTGAGGTAGGCAGGAGAAGGGATCCCTGGAGAAGCAGAGAGTGCATGTGACTGCATCGGTGCAGTGTGAGCTGAGACAGGAGAGAGACTGTGCAGGACAATTTGAGGAAAGGAGTGGAGTTGAGTCTTAATCACAACATCCCAATTTTGTGTTCCCAGCCTGCTCAATCTGTGGTCCCAAGTATCTCTCCTCTGCTTGGGGTATGTTTACTGGTAACAAGGAGGTCCAGTGGAGGCTGAGAGGAATGCCAAGGGCACCACGTGTCTGCGGGCATCAGCTTTCTGGGTCGAGCCTCTTTGTCCTGTGGAGACCCAGCGACAGCGCCTCTCTGGGCCAGGGCTGGCTCTATTCAGCAGCTGTTCCCTCGCTGGGAAGAGGCTTTTAGCTTTAATAAAAAGGGAGTAGAGATAAGCAGACTGCCGTGGCGGGGAGAGGAGCAGTGACAGGATGATTTAAACGACCTCTCCAGTGTCATTTCTTCTGTGCAGACATCATAAATCAGATTAACTTTGGGCTCCAGAGGGAGGGGAGCAGCAGAGAGACCTGGAGGGCTAGGAGAGAAAGGCCTGAGTGGGCTGTGTGGCCCCGAAGGGTGGGTTAGGGTGTTACCCATGCAGCTACTCAGCCCCTTGTTCTTTGAACACGAGGTGGGTGGAATGACCCACCCAACCCACCTTGGAGCACTTTGCCAAAGCTTGAGGGTAGAAATGAAGAAGGACTTGTAGGAAAGGAGGGAAGAGAGAGCAGGGAGGGGAAAAAGGTGTGCAGCGGCCAGTAACACCCACACCCCTGCTGACTGGGGGTGGGGGTGGGGTAGAAGTGCATGGGGTACACTGGCCAGGACCCAAATCCAGTGCTCCCTCACACAAACCCAAGAAACCAGACCCACTGCTGCTGAGTCGATTTCAACTTATAGGGACCCTCCTTGGAGTTTCTAAGGCAGTAAATCTTAACGGGGGGAGACAGCTCGTCTTCGTTTTGTGGGGCTAATAGTAGATTCAGAGAAACAAAACGCTATGGGCTTTGCCACCAGGGCTCCCAAGTCTTCCCTCCAGAAAGTGAGAATTCTACCACGGAGTCACGGTTGCCTCGTGTATTGTTGGACTTGAAAAGAATTTGTTGTTTGTTGTTATGTACCGTTGATTCAGAACCAACTCATACCTGACCTTCCAGTGGATTTTCAGGGGTAGCAAACTGCACGGGAGGAGATGGCCCATCTTTTCCCTGAAGAGCTGTTGGTAGATTTGAACCACATACCTGCCTATGGGTTTGTAGCCCAACTCCTTTCCACTGGACCACGAGAGCTCCTTGAAATCACTTGGGAAACTCTAATACCGATGCCTGGATATGATGTTTCTCAGTCCCTGGTGATTCAATGTACTGCTCATGTTAGGAAACACTGGGTTAAAGCTTAGCATCTCTCCTAAACTCTAGAACTACATCAGAAGCTATCACATCCACCATGGCTGCCCAGGCCCACCACTCCCTCTGGCCTACCTGAAAGTTGACCAGAAAGAGAGGCCAGCGTCACAGCCTTGTCTATGAGACAAACATACCTGAGTGGCGCTCCCACCAACTCTCCCCTTTTAGGTCTCGCGTCACCTGGGCAAGATGTACAGTGAGATGATCTTCGTCAACGGCTTTGTGCACTGTGACCCTCACCCGGGCAACGTGCTGGTGCGGAAGTGTGCAGACACGGGGCAGGCAGAGATCGTCCTCCTGGACCACGGGCTCTACCAGGTAGGAGAGATGCTGGTCCTGTCTGGGTCAGAGAGAACCAAGAGCTGGAGGGGACTCTCCCTACCCTTGAAGTGGGTCACTGTCCAAGTCACAGATGCAAGGGCTCAGCTTCCCTCTCCATAAAGTGAGGTGTATTGTTAAATCTTAACTGTAGCTGTATATACAGAAGTGCTTGAGAAACTGTAAGGAAATGCGACTTCTTCTCTGGGACTCTATGAGCTGGGATTTCAGAGGGTGTGAGAACTGAATGTCCCAGTCCAGTAAGGTAATAACACATAATGAGGGAGGAAGCAGGAAACTGAGACGGGCTGGGTAACCCCAGACCCCAGACCGTGTCCTGGAGCTCAGAATGCAGAAGTGGTTTGAATAGACTAGGAGCTCTACTTGGGAAAGGTGAAGTTCCTGGCTGTCCTGGGGCTCAGGGCCAGGCTTGATTTCCATGGTCTCTTGGTCTCCTTAAGACTCTGAGCTCGTGTTCTAAAATCTTGGCCTCCCTTGAAATATCCTGTGAAGAAGGCTGGCTATTGTCTCATAGCCCCCAAATTCATACTGGAGCAAACATAATAGGAGTTCAATTTGTAGCTCACCTATCAGTCCTGGGTAGTGAAAGAGTCAGCAGCAGCCCTTCTCCTGGGCCTGGACTGAAGGGCTGAGCTTCTGAAGCCTCTGCAGTGCTGTGACTGGCAGCAAGGGTCAGGACACAGCAGCATGTATGGGAAAGTTGTTGCTGGCTAGGCTTGAAAGTGGAGTCCCTGCTATCGTCTCCCAGTCAGAGCTCAGTCACAGAGAGCCTGGAGGTGTGTCTGAGAAGGAGAGGGAAAAGTGGTGAGCAGTTAACAGTCTCTCCAGTCTAGACCAGGCTTGCCAGACCAAACCCTTGACCTTGGCCTAGAGGGTTGACAGAACTTACGGAGAGAAGCACATATCAGGCAGGAACTGTGGTCTTTACCCATCCTCCCCCACCCTTTGCAGGGGCCAGCAGCAGCCAGGGGCTAGGGGTCTGTGCAGGGATCACCTCATGGGGACAGGAGCTCAGGTCCTGCCGTCCCCGCTCCCTCCCACCTTAGGTGCTGACGGAGGAGTTCCGCCTCGATTATTGTCACCTCTGGCAGTCCCTGATCTGGACCGACATGAAGAAGGTAAAGAAGTACAGCCAGCGCCTGGGAGCCGGCGAGCTGTACCCCCTGTTTGCCTGCATGCTGACAGCCCGCTCGTGGAACTCGGTCAACAGAGGCATTGGCCGGGCGCCAGTCACTGCCAGCGAGGTAGGTGGCCACCTCCTGGCACTGTCCTTTCCTGGAGGTGAGGGGCAGCCCAGGGATGGTCGTTGGACACTTTCTAGCCAGGGTCTGAGATTCTAGACTGCAGGACGCTGTGTGTGGCATGCACGCACGTGCACGACAGAGTTAGAGAAGTGTTGGAGGAGAAACAGTTCTCAGGATAGAAGGTGACAAAGGGCGGGACACTCCCCTGTGTGCTCTCTAGGCGTCACCCGCCTGCGCATTTAACAGGACACTGCCAGCTTAGTAACCCAGACCTCTGTGGCTTTACTCCCAACCTGCTCACATAGGATTTCAGGCTCCTGCCAAGTTCTCCCAGGACTTCTGGGAATGTCCAGGGATTGCCTTGCATGTGCTCCACCTCCCCAACAGACCTTCTACATTTATTATCTCCTTTTACGTCCACAAACTTCTCCCTCTTTTTTTAAAAAAGTATATATATATATTTAATTTTATATTACTTTATTTACAAAGTTTGCATACATTGTTTTTCACATCAGATCTTTCCCATTTCCTTCACCCCCGCCTTCCTCTACCCATCAAATGTGCGACCCTATGATTAACCACCGCCCCCTCCTCGCCCATCCTCAGCCCTCTGCTCCCACACTCCCCTGTTCCCTGTGCCCCTGAGTACATCTGAGACCACCTCTGCTGTGAGCTGTCACCAGCCCAGGGCTCCTCCAGACGTTGAAGTGGAAGAGGTGCTTTGCTTACTCTTCCAGAGTATTCGGGAATTGCTGCTTGTTCCAATGTCCTGCAGAGTTTTTAGTGAAATCACGTTTTTTTGGGTCTCTATTTGTGACCTGGAAGCTCTGGTGGCCCAGTGGTAAGTGCACTGACATCCCAAAGGCATGCGGTTTGAATCCACCCGCTGCTCTGTGGGAGAAGGAAGGACAGTCTCCTCCCATGTGAATTACTGCCTCTGAAAGACCGTTGCAGGGTCAGCTGTGAGTCGGTTCCTACTCAATGGCATGAAACAAGAACAATTTGTGGCTCAGTTCTCCACTGGACCTAGACAAGAGTGTCGTGAAGACTAGGCTGGGAGGCAGACCCCAGGAACGTCTCCTCCCTTTGCTCATTGGCACCTCCTCCCACGAAAAACATTTGCTGAGGCCCATGAGTTATTCCTGTTCAGCTTGAGCCTTCCCAGGAATTCACTCAGTCCTTGTAGAACTGACTTCTCTTTTCCCATTCTATTAGTTTTCCGAAACCATCTAGACCTGCCAGGAAGAACTGCACTGTAGTCCTCGTACCTCCTTGTGGTGTGACCTTGGGAGGCTCTCTTCACCTCTCAGACCAAAGTTGAGCATTGTTGAGTGTTCAGGCTGTACTGGTGACAATAGACATGGAGAGAAAGAGGTGGAGGCAATTTTACCTCACTTCTAGGTAGAATTGAGAAGACTTTCTGTGGGATTCAGGAATCCTAATGGTTCAGGGTCAGTGGAAAGGAGAAAGACCCTCGACAAGGTGGCCTGGCACAGTGACTGCAGCAAGGGGCTCTAGGATGGAAGAGATACTGATGCTAGCACAGGAGAGGGCAAAGTTTAAGCCCAGTGTTCATAGAGTTGCCCTAAGTTGGGTTTGACTCAACAGCACCTAACAACACAACGATGCTGCAGTGGTTAAGTGTTCAGTTACAAATTAGAAGAGTCTACAGCTTGAAGCCACCACTTTCTCCATAGCAGAAGGGGTAGCAAGTCTGCTTCCAGAGAGATTGTAGCCTTGGAAACAGTGGGACAGTTCTGTCCTGAGCCATGGAGTCACTGTGAGTCGATTCAGCTAGATAGCAACAGGGTCAGATTTTTTTTTTCTTTATTTTTCCCCCTCAACTTGGATTGTACATAGAAAAGGGGGAAAGGAGGATTTGAAGATACATCATAGGATTTTTGAGATGAGTCATAGAGTCAGGGCTCACTCTTGAACATAGAGGAACTTTGAGGAAGGACATACCTGGAGTGGAAGCAGTCAACAGTTGTTTTGAGATGTTTAGTTAGAGGTGTTATGGAAAGTTGAATCAGAAGCTCAGAGAGGAGGTCTTGGCTTGACATACAAATTTGAGGATAATCTTGTCTGCTTATAAGAACAGCAACCACAAAGTAAAAGTGGTTTAAACAATGAAGACTTTATTCCTTCCCTTACAGGAAGCTTGAAGGTCGATGACTCCAAGTTGGTTCATTCAGAAGCTTAACAAACACAGGGCTTTGAGCCTCTTGGTTTGCCTCTCGATTTCAAGATGGCTGTAGCAGTGACAAACTTTACTGAATTTGTTCAGGGTGTCCGGAGATAGAAAGATAAGGTTTATTTCTTTCTGTATATCCTTTCTTAAAGGCAAGAAAACAGTTCACAGAAATCTCCCAATAGACATCACATTTCTCATTGGCCAGAATCATGCCACATGTCCAGGCCTCAGCCAATCTCTTAGGAAGGAGATTCAGTCAGTATTGGCTGAACGGGATCAAGATGTCACCATGCTGGGACTGGGAGGCGCTCAGCCTTGCTGAAGAATGTGGCCTGAGGTGGTCAGATGGATAGACCTGGGACTCTTTAACAGAAGAGAAGTGGAATGGTGACAGGGTGGACACCCATAAAAACCTGCCCCAGACACCCAACTCTGGGATCAATCTCAGCTTGAAGGCTTTTGCTGCTTTGAGGGACACCCTGGGAGGCGTCCTGAGTGGGTGAAGGCCCTTTCTGTTTGGGCTGACAGGTTCTGTGACCAGGTCAGTGCTGCCGTTGCTGAGAGGTGAGCCTGGCATTGGTCTGACCTCAGCCCTCAGCGCAGGGTGACCTGGCAGCAGGGAAGCAGATGGCTTCTTGGTGGCCTCTTCCTGTGAGATGTTCTGGTCTGATTGCTCCTGCCTGGAGCACATTTTTAGAATCACAGCTCTCTCTCTTCTCTCTCTCTCTGTCTCTGTCTCTCTCTCTCTCTCTCTCTCTCTCACACACACACACACACACACACACACACACACACACACGTTTCTGGAAAGGCTGAGGGTTGCTGCTTCTGTTGTAGAAAGGCAGTCTTACTGGTATTACCTTTTGTCAGCACCAGGGCCTCTCCATAAGGAGCCATGGTTGAACGCCCCCGGCTGCTGACTGAAAGTTAGTTTTTAACCTTGAGGAAGATGAGGCAACGATTTGGGCCGTGGAAACTCTATGGCACAGCTTACTCTGCCTGCCAGAATCATTATGAGTTGATATTGACTTGTCGGTAATGGGGTTGGGAGTTCTCATGATGTAGTTACAAACATATTAGACTAATAACCAGAAGATCGATGGTTCAAATCCACTGGCTGATGTGCAGGAGCAAGATAGGCAGACCTCTCCTGGAAGGTTTACAGCTTTGGAAGCCCAGGGGGGCGTCACTGTGAGTCCAGATTGACTTGCTGGGCATTTTGTAGATTTGTTTTAAAGATGATTTTGAGGCGAGCTCTGGTGGCCTAGTGGCAAGAAGCTTCACTGCAATCCCAGAGGTACATGGTTCAAATCCACCAGATAGATGCTCTGCTGGAGAAGGAGGAAAAATCTCCTCCTGTACCAGTCAGATCTGATTCGACGGTACATGCACACAAAATAATAATAAAAAAATGAAATAAAATAAAATAAACCATTTTAAAAAAAGGAAAAGATGATTTTGATAGACTCATTGCCCTTCCCCTGAATGCTTTAACCCAGTACTGCTGGGAGGCGTGCACAGCGAGTATTTGGATTCTCCTCGTTCAGGGAGGACACAGAGTTGCTAAACGGTTTAGGCTGCTCAGCACCACACAGGCCTGCTGAGTGGGTGGAGTGGCAGTAGAGGCACGTGGTCAGGACTCAGGCTAGCGAGCGGGACCGCTTGGTTTACGTCCTGACTTTGGCCTGACGAGCTGGCAGTGAGAGGGAGTGGGCTTTGGTTTCCACATTTAAAAGTGGAAAGAATACATTTACTTCATGGGGTCAGAAGGGGCTGACGACTTGATAAATGCAGGCATTTCCAGAGTGCTCGCTTATGTAGTTGGTGCTCCATGCCCGCTCGCTCTTATCCTCATCATTATCACTGTCCTCAGTTTTCTAGAAGAAAGGATCAGACCTGCACCTGCCATGCGCAGGATTCTGGCACACAGAGGCCAGATGGGGGAGGGACCAGGCCCCAGACTCACACTGCAGGATGAGGCAGGTGCTGTGGGACGTAAGGACTCACCCAGTGCTGCTGTATGGTTTCAGATCTCAGGTGTTGGGAGAGTCGAGACTGGCTTCAGGCAGCGTGGGCTAAAGGCTGTTGGTGAGCCTGATGAGGCCAACTCCCACAGGATATGGGGCTTTGAAGACGAGGTGATGAACCCCAGAGTCAGGCCTGGCTGGAAAAGATGACCATGGAGATGTCTTGTGGAATACTAGGAGACAGATCCCTAGCCAAGGAGGCCAGCTTATTCAAATTTCATCAAGTGGGGTTGGGGTGCGGGGGCTATTGGTGACTTCGTGCCCCAATCAGTACTGACTTGGGAGCTTTGGGCATGTGTATGTTTGGCCTTAGACGTCTCTGAGTGGTACAGATGGTTAAGTGCTTGACTACGAGCAAGGTGACAAGTGATTCAAACCCATCACTAACCAATACACGTTGGACAGGCCCGGCAATCTGCTCCCAAAAGGTTACAGCCTTGAAACCCTAAAGAGCACAGTGTTACTCTCTATACGTGGGGTCACCATAAGTCAGAATTGACTTGAGAGCAGTTGGCAACATTTGTCAGTGACCTTGGCTGTGAGGAACCAGGGACAGCAGCTGCAGCAGAAATGGTGTCTGTCCCTCCTACGTCCCCTTTGTGTCCTTCTGTCCTACAGTGGCAAGAAGCTGGAATGTGAGATTCCATCTGGGCTTGCCAGGCTGTAGCTGTTCTTCAGTTAAAAGGAGAAAGGTTTCCCTCTGGGAAGGGTCCATAGTGGTGCTGAAGCAACGATACTACTGGATACCTACTGGGGTCTCCCTTGAGTCCCCTCAGGCCACAACAGCCACCACCAACCAACTGTTCCTTCTGTCTCCCCACCACGGCTCTAGGAAATGGAAATCCGGGACAATGCGGCCAACTACCTCCCCCAGATCAGCCAGCTCCTCAACCACGTGCCGCGCCAGATGCTGCTGATCTTCAAGACCAACGACCTGCTGCGTGGCATCGAGGCGGCCCTGGGCACCCGCGCCAGCGCCAGCTCCTTCCTCAACATGTCGCGCTGCTGCATCCGGGCGCTGGCCACGTGAGTGTGGGCCCCTTCTCTCCTAGCCTGCCCCAGGGGCGCCCCTCAGCCCCCTGTTCTCCCACCAGTCTACTTGGCCCTGCCTGAGCTTCCCACTCGCCAGCTCCCCACGAAGGAAAAAGTGAGACCAAGAATAGCTTACAAGTTCACTGCAGTCCCTGGGCAGTTCTGTGGGTGAGGAGAGAACAACCTGTCCTGTGGAAGTGGCAGATTCCAGGGCTTTCGCCTCCCAGCCCACCTCCCAGGTATCAGGCTGTTCTTACCCTTAGGAAGGTGAAGCTGAGAGAGGGTCCAACCCAAGTGTCCCCTGTACTGGGACTCAGGAAGTCCAGGTGTGTATCCCATTTCCGACTGATCCAGGGTCCTGTAACTGTCTCCCCAGAGACTGTCAGGAGATAAGCAAGTACATTTGTCCCAAAAGAGGTAAACTGTTGCCTTCGGGGAAGTCCTGCATGAGGAAGAACTTGAATCGAGCAACTCCAAGTATCTCAGATCTTTTCAGATGCCTTTTTTGATGTCTGGGTACCTCTTAGGGATGTGTAAGGAAGGACGCTTGTGTCTCTGGATGGTGATGGCAGAGAAGGAAGGATCTGAGGCTCTTCTGAATGCAGGGAATATATTGAAAGGGCCATCTGGCTGAAATCACCCAGAGGAGACAATCCAGACTTGATCAACTTCCAGTTCTTCCATTTTGATGGAGATCGGCCCTTCTCAGAAAACCTCTGTCTGAGGGGAAATTGACCAGATAACTCAGGCACGCTCTATCAAATACCAGATTGTCAAAATGTCCTGCACGCTCAAAGGCTGGCCATGATTTAGCCTTCCTCTGCGGGTCCAGGAAGTGACGTCTTGACTAGGTCACCATCAGCACCAATTTCCACCAGATTTCTTGTTTGTTTAGAAGGGATTGAGCTGGGCTGTATCCACAGTGCCACCTGAGGGGTTTCTGGGTGATTTTCTGACCTTCAGGAAGTTAGATGCCTGTTGAATGTACTTTTAGAAAAATGAGAACCACTGGCATGTTCTAGTCAATGGGTCGTTTAAGCCATTTACTTAAAAAAAAATCCTTTGGCATCTTTGAGTTCCTTTGGGCCTCACCTGGGCGGGGATCGATGATGTCACCAAGAGCAGCCCACAGGGGCAGGGAGCTGGTCGGCGGAGCAAAGCTCCTCCCTTCCATTTCCCTAGATGATGCTGAGCTACGATTCTCTCTCACACTCTTTCCTTCTCGCCCTTCCTCCAGGCACAAGAAGAAGAATACTTGCTCGTTCTTCAGAAAGACCCAGATCTCGTTCCGAGAAGCCTTGAGTCTATGGCAGATTGACCTTCATGAATTCTTCCTGAGCGTGAAAGGGTTGAGGCTGACCAGCTGGGTCTTGTCCCTTATTTACTGGCTGCTTCCTGCTTCACACTGAGTCACCTTGCCATCCTCTGCCACTTTGTGGTGGGACCCCATAGCAGGAGAGACGTTTATCACTCCCCCTCATTTGCCATGTCTCCAGCTGGTTGTTCCCTTTCTGCCACATGGTGTTCCAGGGCCCCTGGGCATGTACACTCCACAGCACCAGTGTCTTCACCTTCGGAATTCCTCTGCCCACCTTGCAGCCCTTGTCTCAGGGCCCATGAGCTGTTCTCATGGAATAGACTGGGGAGAAGACACAGAGTTTATTTTCACTCCTGCTGTGTGCCATTGCGTTGAAGGTCCCCTTCCTTCCGTTAACACTTTATCTTGTCAGGATGGACCTCGTACCCCATTGAGGGCACGGGCAACGTGTAAGAAGTTTGATCTTAGTTGGAGGTGAGTATGGTCTCTGAATTCACCAGAGAACAGGCACCTTCTCCTTCCCACACCACTCAGAAGTGTGACCCAACTCAGGAAGCCTTATGGCATTTAGGACAGACTCCGTTACAGTGTGAATTCACTGCTGTCATGGGTGTGCCTGTTGGGCGTTTTGTATCATGCACTGTGTTTCAATAAAGGACCCCTTAGAGTTGTAGGATTTGTTTCTCTTCCCCCACCGGCCCACACTCAGAGCCCAGCCATCCACATGCTGTATCCAGAATGTGCCTCACGGTCCTTGCCAAGGTCTTTTGATTGGTTTCCCCCGGTTACTGCTTCTTCCAGGTTTCCCAAGGAGGTCTGCACAGTATCGTGTCAGACTTGGCCCCAGTTTGGTGGGAAATTTGATTCTAATGTGTACCCATGTTGGCTACTAAGTGAGGGTAAAACTGAACACCTCCTGTCAGTGTGATCTGCTTGGTTTCCTGACTCTGTAATCCTTTGAGCTTTCTGCTCTGGGGCCACTTCCTGCTTTTTATTTATATGTTTTGTTCACTCTTCAAGACCTGGTCTGAGGAGTTTGGATGCACAAGGCCAGGAACTCAGAGCATCAGCCAAGTCCTTCAACTCTGGTTTCTCTAGATTCTCACCTCCTTTCCTATGACCTTGACAGCTCCCTTTTCTTACTAGTTGCTTCTGACTATTAACTCTTTGGTTCTTCGTTCAGTGAGCCCCAGTTTCAGACTAGAGATGTTTCCTGGTCCGCAAGTCATTCTGAAGGCTGTGATTCTGTTCCTGAAACCTCGACTCTGTGGTGTGGTTTCCTTTCTGAAATCCTCACCTCACCTGTCTAGACTCTGCTTCTCCTCCTGCATCACCTGTGGCCAGCACTATCCTGTTCTACCTGCTTCATCCTCTGGTTCTGTTTCTGCAGTATCCCCAATTTCCTGCCCTACTTCCTGTGTCTGTGTGACTCCCGAGACCCCAAATTTGACAGGTCAGTGCTCTCTCCAAGCACCGGTGCCCACAAATAGTTACTGCACCCGAATCATTCTGATCTTGGGTCACCCTGTTTGCAGGGACAGAAAAGTCTTGACCACGCGCCTTGTTTTCTGTTCTTATTTTTGGTAATACAAGCAGCAGATTTTCCAGAGACGATTTGCAACTCCTTTATGTCCCAAAGGAATTAATTGTTTTCAGTGACCAGTTGGATGCACCCAGGGACCTGAAAGAATAATTTTCAAGATCTGTTATTAATCATAAGGATGCATGCTGCATATTATATTTTATGGTGTCTTTTATAGTCGCTGAAGTAAATATAAATGTCCTTTCTATTCAAGGTAACGACTACTGGCTTTTCACTTTGCATTTAATGGTTGGCTTCTTGCTGCTCTAAAATCTAAAACATCAACGTGCCACCATTGAAACCAGCACCCCTAACAGTTACCAGGGGGAGCAGATGCAGGGGAGTTGGGGGAACAGGAAAGAGGAAGGGGGATCAATGCTGACATTTACAGAGTGCCTTCCATGTTTCAGAGGTCATGCTAGGCTTTGTAAATGGGTTACATCATATAATTGTCCCATCAACTCTAAGGGATGGATCACTAGCCCCTCTTACAAACATGACCAAAGTTCTCAGAGAAGTGTAGTAATTTGCTCTCAGCCACGCAGCTGGGGAGTGGTGTCCTGTACTTAGTTTTTATATCTACAGTGTTATAGATTCGGATTGGGTTTGCTCCTTGGATGGTTTTCTATGCTGGAGTTGGGTTTGGAAAGCCTTGATTTCAGAGGGAATTGAAGAATTGAGGCAGGATGGTTAGATGGCTCAAGGAGACAAATTCCTGGGAAAAGCTGAGTCCAGAACATTCCTTGAAACCTAAGACACGATGAACCTGGGTCACTGTTTGTTTCTCATTGAGTGCGATCTGGGCCAGTGTGGCGTTTGGCATGTGTGTTCTGGTTGGCTTGGTGGGCTCATTGTGAGCTCACAGACCCTGGGAAAGATTGACCAGAGTCTCATTCCTTCGCTCAGGGGTAGTTCAGGTGCAGACCCTACTGACCTTTGCCTGGCTATCCTGGTAGACCTGCCAGGAGGTTGCTCATTGCTTTGGCTTGGTGCTTTCCTGTAGACTCCATGCCTTCTCTCTAGTGGAGCCGTGATGGTTTCTGTCAGGAAGGAACTACCTTTGGAAGTTGGTTTTTTCCCCCTTTCTTATTAATCTTTGTATTATTTCTTAACTGAAATGTTGGCTTCCTTGATTTGGGCAGCATGGCAGTGTTCTTCAGAGCCTTTTCTCAGGTGGAAGAGTGTGTATCTATGGCTTGTTTGGCCTAGAGCCTCTTACATACAAGTTTTATAAAAAGTGCATACATATACTATTGACATATAATAGTATATATATGTATATCTATATTGTTGTTGTTAAGTGCCATTGCGTCATGGATGATTCATAGCGACTTTGTGAATGAAAGACCTGAACACTTGCATAACTTTCATCATTTCTCCAACTTCATAGAGTTTCCAGAGGCAAGCTATTTCGGAAGTGGATGCCACTCCTGCTACCAAGCTTGTTTTAATTGGGGAGCTCCACCAAACACTGTCCACCATGGGTAAGCATTATTGCATTTGACACATCAGGGTCACAGTGTTCAACATCACAGCAACCACAAGTTACCTCTGTACAGCAAATGGACAGACTTGTGCTATTCCACTTAGAAGAAGGTTTAACCAAAAACAATTAAAACCACGATTAAAACAAGCTTGAAAGCAGGAGTGGCAACAGCATATATAATAGTACGTGTATATATATCTTGTCTTCTGGCCAGTGTTAGCCCAACAGCCAGCCAAACACTTGTTGTTGTTTCTGTTGTTGTTGTTGTTAGATGCCGTTGAGTCAGCTATGACTCAAAGCGACCCTGTGAACGACAGATCTGAATGTTGCCCTCTCCTTTGCCATCCTCGACATCTCTGATATGCTCAAGGTCGTTGTTACAGTCCCAGTGTCAGTCCATTTGGTTGAGGGTCTTCCTCTCTTTTCTCTGACTTTCCCCACATCATGTCTTTTTTTTTTAAAGGACTGATCTCTCCTGACAACATGGATGTAGCAGCAGGAACAACAATAAGGCAAGCCATGTTCTTTTAAATCGCTTCTTGTACTTTGGGCATATTGTTAGGAGAGGTTATTCCTTGAAAAGATGAAAGGTCAGTGAAAAAGAGGAAAGACCCTCAGTGAGATGCATCGCTACAGTGACTGCAGCAGTGGGTTTGAGTGTGCCATGGTGAAGAAGGCATAGGATAGGACAGGGTTCAGATCTGTTGTTCATAGGATCGCTATTAGTTGTGCTCAACTCGGTGACACTTAACAACAACAACATGCATTTGAAAGTTGGACAGTGAATAAAGAAGATTGACAAAGAATCAATGCCTTTATTGAATATACCATGGACTGCCAAGAGAACTAGCAAATGAGTCTTGAAGGAAGTACAGTCAGAGTACTCCTTAGAGGCAAGGATGGGGAAACTTAGTCTCACATACTTTGGGTACATTGTCAAGTCAGGATGGGCTATCTTTGGAAAAAAGACATCATGCTTGGAAAGGTAGAGAAGCAACAAAAGAGAAGACAACTCTCAACAATATGGATTGACACAGTTACTGCAGAATAGGTTTAATCATGGCACAGATTGTAATGGTGGCCCGGGATAGGGCAGAAGTAGTCTATTGTTCATAGGGTCCTTATGGGTCATAGGTGACTCTGACACCTAATAATAACTACAGCAGTGCCACTTTCTAGTCAGAGACCCCGGCCATTCTATCTAGAGTCCAATTGTGTAGATATACTTTCTATAATGTTGTTGTGTGTTTTCAAGTCATCTATGAATCATAGCGACTTTATGAACAATAGCTCTGAACCCTGCCCTATCCTGAGCCACTGTCTCTGACACATCTGCCTTCATTGACACAGTCACCGTGTCAATCCATCTCATTCAGGGTCTTCCTCTCCTGTGGTGACCCTCTACCTTTCCAAGCATGATGTCCTTTTCCAAGAATTGGTCCCTCCTGGCAACGTGACTGAAGTATGTGAGACAGAGGATCACAATCCTTACCTCCAAGGAGCAACCTGGCTTTCCCCTCTCTAGGATAGACCTGTTTGTTCTCTTGACAGTCCATTGTATATTCAGTACTTTTCCCCAGCACTAGGACTCATAGTTAGTTATTCACCAGCTCTCAGATGCATAGTGAGTAATTGCAAATACCACTGCTTGGATCAGGTGCACCTTAGTCTCTAGACTAACATTGTTGCTCCTTAGCACTCTGTAGTGGTCCCTGACAGCAGACTTTGCCAAGGCAATTTGTCTTTTGATGTTGATTGTGCACCTGAGCCAGCTGAAATTGTAAACAACCTCAATCTTTTCTCCATCTGTCATGTGATCCTGCCAATTGGCCCAGTGATGAGAATTTTTTTCTTGATATTGAATTTCAGTCCATATTGAAAACTATAGTCCTTGATCTTCTGTAGCATACAGATGAAGTCTTCCTCAGTTTTGGCGAGCAAGATTGTGTCATGTGCATAACACACGTTGTTGATGAGCCTTACTCCAATCCTGATGCCACTTTCTCCTTCATAAAGTCCA